AGCAAGAGACCGTCTCCCTGGTCAGTCTTAGAAACTCGCAGGCAAGGAGCAGAAGCCTCAAGAAGCGCCGTCTCACACAGCCTCCGTGGCAGCGAGGAAGACGAGACAAGGCGTCCCCTTTCCGCCATCCCTGTATCCGCTGGTTGTGGTACAGATGATCTCCTGGTTGGCAAGTAACTAGCTTAAAGACTGCTATGAAGCAAAGCAGAGAAGTTTTACAGGTGATGTGTCTGGATGCACGCTGGTGACTGAGGGGTCACAGGACATACCAAGAGAGGAATTGCTGTAAAGAAAGACTTGAAAGGGACAGCTTAGGGACCTCCAAATTTAGACAGCTGTACAAAAACAACCAGAGGGAAAAGACATCCAAAGATGTGGGTCACTCAAATAAACAACCTGGTAATTAAACAGCAGTAGTGAGGTCCCCAGGCAAACAGCACTGGCTGAGAGGGTCCTGACCACCCCCAAGGGCTGAACAGTGTCTTCAGCTGCTCTTTGTTAATGCTGCCTCTCCCTGCCCTCCCGGCCAGGAAAGGGCACAAAGCCACATCGCCCAGACCTTGCTTCTTGCACAGACACCGAGCCACGGTGGGATTCCTTCACTTCTGCTACAGGGGAAGCGCTCCTGGGAAAGATCCAGTTTTCATCTGAACCATAAAACCTGTCAGTAGCTATTGCAATTGAGCACTTAAGTTGCCTTTTCACTAATGTTTCCTTGAGTCTTTGGATAGCGGCATGGTAAGAGAGCACCTAAGCCTGGTGCTCGAATACAGGCACTAAGCCCCAGCTGAGGGGTGGGGTTGAAACAAGGCGTCGGGGCTCGCAGCATGAGAGCTGGTCCCAGCAGCAGCCCTGCGGCAGGGCAATGCCTTCGTTGTAGCTTTCACATACTCTTTGAAAGGAGATCAGAGCGCGGACAGGCGGCTTCATCCTCATCACTTCATACAAGCTAAGGACAGGGGAAAAAAAATAAAAATCCATCCCCCTTCCAACCAAAGCCATCTGCTCAGAAACACGCTCTACTCTTTC